TTTTTTTTTTTTTTTTTTTTTTTTTTTTTTTTTGAAGTTGACGAATTGATATTTATATTACAAGATCTTCTGTTTCATTACAACGTTTATTAGTTTCAAGGAACTAAGCCATGTTGTAAATTTCTTTGAAAAAGTACCAGAAAAAAAAATTAAAAAAATTGTTAAAATAACCTATCGGAAATAGTGACTGCCTTTTGTATTTGCTTTGAAATTTTTTAAGAAATTTTTGTGTTCATTACAAGATAATACTTTTACTGTTTTTGATTAATCACTGGTTTGTTGTAGTCAAAGTGTATTTATATGTGTACAACAGAATGAATTATTATCTTATAAATGCAGAATTTCCTTCATGCGACACTTTAAATGATCAAAGCAAATACAGAAATGGGTCAGAACTATTCTATAGAATTTTTTGAAAAGGTTACTGTACTTTTTAAAATGCTCATTTTTTTTAAAATTTTTATAATGAAAAACAGCTGTTGGTAAAATAGTATACATACACAAATAAACAAATACTTGAACGTTTTTGAATTTTTCCCAGATTTGAGCTTCCTACGTTTGGATTTCAGATTGATTCCTATCGGAATTTCTAAGAAACAAAACTAATTGGACTTATTTTAAAACGGCTACTGAAACGCAAATTACTAGGTAGAAGTTCTATAAAAACACTGTAAATGCTGCAAAAATGACAATATAACTGGAAATCGAACGGCAACTGCGAAGCAAGCGACTTTAACAAAAAAAAAAATAACAATTTTTTTAAAAAGAATCTCATATAAATAATTTTTCCTCTTTAATTGTATTTTGAAGCACTTTGCAAAGATTCTGTTACTGTTCACCAATTTTAATCAAAAACGTTATTTTACCAGTCCTTCATACAATTCCACTACACTAACAACAGCACTGCTTATGTGGTTCTCTGCTAAAATACTAGAGTTTATGTATTAGTCCACACGCGTTGCGGTAATAACGAATTACTGCTTCCTCAGAACTACTTAAAAATAAGGATGCTGCTTAGGCAAATGTTTTCTAGGATTAGCGAGATCAGTTTTGACGTTTCAATCAGTAAAGAATGAAGAAAATTATTACAAACAGCAAAGACTGAATGTATTAGAAACGGTCCCAAAGTTTACAAAGCCGATACATGACCGTGTTGTCAGCTCTGGAAGACAAGTGTATCAGTATTACTGAAAGACTTCACACTTAATTGTCGATTTTATTTAATACAAGCTAAAAAGTTTTTTTTTGGTAGTTCTTAATGCCAAAAAATGGCTTCTTCTTTGTCGCAGTCAAACTCCTATTAGTTGTGTAAAATTACGGACTTCTTCACAAATCGCCATTGGAGCCAGTTGGATTATTACAACTAACCAATGCGTCAATTGTTACTTTGACTTTATTGCTGACCTTCAGTCTGACTTAACTATAAAAAATGCAGCTTATAAGATACTACTGCCATTGCTCAAAGTACGTTGTGCAAGTTTTGTTTGCAAATTCATTAGTATCTACGTCATTTATTTTCGACAGCACCTCTTCATTGTACTGAGAAGAATGTGTCTTCCGTTAGCCAGCTTAACATACAGCACAACTGAACTTTGCAATTACCAGGATGACGACAGACTCTCTACTTTCGAAACACATCGTGATTTATAGCTCAACATTAAGTAACATTGACTAACAGAATTACCATAGCTGCTATGACAATTAAAATTTTCTTCTCAGTCTAGTTACGACTATTTTTATGTCTTCTTAAAAATACTACAGAAGATTGCTTTCAATAAGATCTTAAGAAAAGCATTTAAAATTTGATTTAGGTTTTTCTTCTTGCTCGTCAAAAAATGCAACACCTACAAGTGAGCTAAACTTTTTTTCTTTTTAATGTCTCTTTTTTGCAACTACTTGAAAATGTATCGAAAAGTCACCTAAAAAAGTTTTAAGTTTTCCAATAGCTTCTTGTCAAGAATCTGTTACGAAAAAATTTTTGTATATAATAAGTATCTTTTTTCGAAGTACTGAATATCTTTTTATATTTTGTTATTATGCTAGAAAAAAAAAAGAGTGCAGTAAAAGCTAAAGGATGATTCAGGTTAGGATTATAAATTACTGGTAGATAGCAGGAATTCCAAGCTCTGTGTGACTGACCATTTGGTTGACAAAAGTAAAGAATAAAATTTTATTTAAGCCAAAAATGCCTGCAAAGTAGAGAGACATAAATGTTTAAAACAACTTTAGAAACTGAAAAGGCAAACAAATAAGATGATAGTTGAAGAAAGCAGAGTAAGCAAAAAAAAAGTAAATAATGAGTGGGTAAAGTTAACAGCAAATCAGGTTTTTCAGTTGCAGAAGGTTGGGAAAAAAAAAGTTTCAAAATCAATCTATTGGGTTTGCAGAGTTAAAATAACAAACATCAGGTTATCAAGTACTCAGGTAAAAATTAAAATTTAGATAGTCAAACTCCAAAAATTTGCAGCAGTAAATAATAGAACATACATCTATTCATTAAAAAATTATGTCTCTGAGATTACCATCAAATAGAACTTCTCAAAACCGGAATACATCTGAAACCACAGAACGAGGTTTACAAAAGCACGTTTATGAACTAAAAACTTTTGAGGAGACATCAGTTGACAGAAAATTGAATAGTTTAGTGATTCAACCTGTATCAATTTCGTTATCGTTATTAAAAAGCTGTTCTTTGCAATTCTTTTGACATGCTGTGTAGTTTATTTATTGCATTTGCTCCAATCGTCTACCTTATTTTCTTTTAATTGGTATGTCACTTACAGTTTCTGTGATTTACGTTATTGAAAACACTGTTATTTAAAACAAATACTGCTGTTGTATATCGACACAGCAGATTAAATTTTTGTATCCTAAGCACCTAAAAGTGCCTTTGTGAAAACCAAGAATTTGAAGTATCTTTAAATGCAGATATGTCAAGATTTTGATTTCTTTTAAAAAGAAAGTCTAAATCGATCGTAAAAGATCAGTCAATAAATTAGCAAGAATTTTGATTGTAATGACCTCGGAAATATAATAATTAGCAATAAACTACATTTTCTATTCCAAACTTAGCTGGATAAACAGAACCACTAACTCTGCTGTTAGGTGAAAATCTAGGCATCTGTGAAAAAGTATTGAAATTGTTAAAACAGCCAGAATTGTTTTAAAATATTAAAAAAAAAAATTTTAATCTTTGTTTATCAGACATAAGCTTTCTGTTATAATTCAGCTGTCAAACTAGGCTCACTTTGAAATACATTGGGTCATATTAAAATTTTTTGCCGATATTAAGCCTCGAATATAACAATTGCTTAAAATACATTCTAACAAATGTTTCAATAAATTTAATCAACAGCTTTTTAAAAATAAATTTTTATTTGTGAAGATAATTTTATTACACTATGTTTTATATCCTATCAGATTTTATCCC